CATTATAACCAACAAAGAAGCACATATTATAAATGGAAATATAACAGAGGGTAACATTAAGAATAACAAGGCAACCTCTGCCAGACAACTGTCACTGGAAACGAAATACAATCGAAGGCATTTTATGAATTATTGCTTGACCCATCCAGGCAGGTATTCTTGTGCAGTTGACTCTTTTCTTGAACTCGCTTTTGCTATTTTTAGAGATTCGTTACAACATATTGAGCGTAATGAGTTTTTTGAAACTTTATATGAAGCATGTTTACATTTACAAAATTGTAATGTGGATACAGATATGAGCCTTATTCGAGAACCTGTTTGGTCCTATTTGAGACAGCGTTGCAACTCATTTGCTTCAATGTCTGCACATGCTGTATTTAGTGACATATTTACATTAAACACAGTTGGAACTATGAACCAGCAGTTGGAATCAGTTTTTCTCATACAGCAGAAAAATCGGTCAGTTTGTTCATCCTGCAACAATGAAATTGTCAAAAATACATGTATATTCGTTATTTATATTACTTGCCAAAATTTGGGTCACAGCCTATTTGAAAATTGTGTTTGTGATGCAATACTTCCAAGTAGCAGAGCACTTTTCTGTGATTTGTGTCAACATTATTCTGGGGTTGTTTCAGTGCTGCAACATTTTGTTACACTTCCAAAATTTTTACTTGTAGAACTTTCATCAAACTGTATCAGTCATTATACTTTCCCCTCTCTGGATGTATTAGGTGAAGGTTATGAACTCAAAGGCATGGTACGTTGTATAAGTCATCATTTCACAATAGCTGTAAATAATCACAGTGAATGGATATATATAGATGAACATGAATTCAAGAAAGTTGTTAAATTGACTGTTAATCAGAGAGGTCAAGGAAGTGATATTGAGTGATCTAATTTTAGGGCATTGTTAACCCGAGCTCGTTATGGCGACTCAACTATGTCAGACTGGGAGTCATTAATTTTTCGAACTGCAGATAAAGTGAATAATATTAACGATTTCAGACAACATTCAGTAAGACTTTGTTACCACAAAGAAAAAGTTGCAGAATTAAACATGAGTAAACTTAAAAGTTTGAATCAACCAATAGCCATGATTAAGGCACATCACTCTCTTGGTGTACAAACTCTTAGTGCTGATGACATGGGGGGCCTCGAGCCTGTTATTTACTTGTCAAAAGGTGCCAAAGTCATGTTAACTATGAATCTCTGGACTGATGTTGGTCTTTGCAATGGAGCAATAGGGACAGTACTTGACTTTGTTTATGCTGAGTTCAGCAACCTCCATGTCTTCCTATATGTGTACTGGTTCAGTTTGATGAGGAATATAAAGGACCTTCAGTTTCTTCTACGTTTCAACGTTGTGTTCCAATTTGTCCCATTACCCAAGTTTCTGGATGCTTGGGACAAAGATATGAAAGACAGCAATTGCCATTAAGATTAGCCTGGGCAATGACAATTCATAAATGTCAAGGTCTAACCTTCAGTAAAGCTTGGATTGATTTAGGGTCATCAGAGAGAACTCTTGGAATTACATATGTTGCTTTAAGTAGGGTGAAGAAAATTCAAGATCTCGTTATTGAACCAGCGACACTAGAAAGATTGCAAGCTGGGAAAAAGTTGACTAATTTTAAGTTCCGATTAGAAGAAAAGCGCCTTGATTTGTTAGCTAATGAAACACTTAAGTCACATTTTACAATGTCTTAGAATACTTTTTTTGTGCCTTTAGATACTATTTCAGAGAGATCAAAATAAAAAGATTTTGATCTCCTGTCCCTGTAGTAACTGGTGGCAAATAATGTGGGCAAACCTTTCATGTTTAATTTTTTTTTTGGAGAACGGCAAATGCTTTGTGCTAAAAAATAAAACCTCAATAGTTAAAAATCCTTTTGCTACAGTGTATATATAGTTTACAGATAATTGTGGTATGTTGTTTTCAGATCTCCAACCAATTAAGTCATGTCAACAATAAAGTCAGACAACACAAACTCACGTAAGTATATGTGGCTGTAGTTCTAAATAATTATTTTAAGGTTTTAACCCCAAACTAAATAAAATGGGAAGCATATTCCTGTTTTCTTCAGTGCAGAGGCTATGGGGAGGTGACACGACAGTTACTGCAGAATTGAGTACTAAAAAATAGGAATTGTCACATTTCATTCAATTCATTACCTGAAGAAGCCCTTCATAACCTTCACACTAAAGTCTACTTAAGGTTTTTTTGACCATATTTGGTTTCATAAAGATGGAAAATTGTATTAACTTGTTGGACATTAATATTTCACATTTCTTATCTCATTTTAATTTTTATTTCCCCTTTCTTAGATAATCACCGTGGCTACATTCAGAATTTAAGCCCCATTAAACGCTCACGAAATCAAAATCAGTGGTTCGATTTTGACCTCCAAACCAGCCCATCCAAGTTGAGAAGAGTTGTGGGATTTAATATTGCAAGCCACTCAACATTACAAGAACATGAGGCATCAAAAACAGCCATAACCCTTCAAAACATTAAGAAAAATGACAATAATCAAATCATATTCAACCAACAATCAATGGTCAGGGTTGCGCCAACCTTTGACATTGATTTTGACTATCAGCCCATCCGTCAATCTCAAAAGACTGTACCCTCAGCTCAGCCTGCCAAAAAGAGTACACTTGAAGAGCTCCCCACACTTCAAGTCAATCAGAAAGTGAACGTCACTGCTTCAATTTCACTGGGAAATGAAAAGCCTAAACCAGTTCAACTGAAAACATCAAAGGAGATGACATCAGTGAAGGAGGATTGTGTTCTAGAAGATGAAACTGGAACTGCAACTATTCATATATGGGATCCACTTATTAACAAGATCAAAAGTGGCACCACATATGTGATTGAGAACCTTACTGTAAAACACTTCCAAGGAATCACCCGTTTAGGAACAACACGTGCAACAACCTTTCAAGAGGTCGATCAGCAGCTGAAAACTCTAAATGGCCCTGCATTACTCCAAAATCCTGAGAAAGAAGCAAAAGTACAGAGATTTAAGATGATAAACAAACTAAGTATTTTTATTACCTGCCAAGCATGCAAACGAGAAATGAACGAAATGTCCCAACAGAAATCACTCAAATGTAAAAACTGTGGAGTACGACAGAGGCAAGCAGAGTGCAAGCGAGATGCATCTGTGCAACTACTTGTACATTTGGATGACAAAGATGTGTGGTTAACAGCATTTACAGATGTTCTGGAGTCCCTATTCGCCACCCACCCAACTATCTCCCTACTAAGTGACTCAGATACCATTGAGGAACTGCTAATGGATATAACAGACATCGAGTTCACATACAATATGAACAGAAAAGTAATCACAAAAATATCATCATCTTCACTAATTACAGGTTAAACTGCTCTGGATAGTGTTCTTACTACAAACTTTACAAAGGATCATTTGATCAAAACATTCAGTTTCGTTCTTTATTCTTTCATCTCATTTTGGACCAAAATTAATAATAATATAATTACAATGTTCTTTTTGGTTGCGATTTTACAATAATTATCAACTATTTGCACTTTCAAGTTGTTAGTTGTGTTACATGAAATAATATTAAACAGACAAATGCTTTAGTATGTTTCTGTTCAGAAAGATGTAAGTACATATGACCCCATTCTTTATGTGGAACAAGGGAATAACTGTCCTTATGCCTAAAAAAAGAAAACTTTCCCATCTTAATGGCAACCACCATTTTATAACAACCAAAAACGTTGTCTCCCCACCTTCCTGCAACAATCGCTTTACTTCATATATAGGACTACCCTGTGAGCAGAGTCTCCAGCACCTAATATGTGCAAATATGTTTTAAAAAACGTTATGTAACACTTGTAAAATTGACATTCAAATGTATTCAACATTAATCAATAAATGGTTCAGATTTTCAAAAAACAAATGTTTCTTACTGATACCTCCCTCTGCAAAGCTGATTTTATTCTTTCAAAAAGATACTTCATGACATTTCAAACTTTTATATAGCGCTTTGTAAAGCAACAGGAATATGAGAACCAAGTCTTGTCTGCAACCTTGATAGATTCATAACACCTTTTCAACTAAATGATCCTTGCATTGGGAGGGGACCCGAGAAACTCTCAAATGCAAAATAGGCATTTTTTGCTTGTTGGCACTCTATTGATAGGTATACCTAGTATGTAGGTAGGCAGGTGTGCGTGTTTATTCATCAACTAAATTACTTTTTGGAGTAATAGTTTCTTTTATGTATGCAAAACTTTGAAGCTAAGACTAATAACAAGTTTTGAAAAAATATGGAACATTTCCATTTGTTATTTCATTTTCTGCCTGAAATGTTGTTCTATATGTTACATTTATCCAGTACAGTTTATCTTGTTGGAAGGAAAAAAACTTTATTCTAACAATATGAGACTCAGATGCGTAAAAAGATGGCGAATACAGACATGAAATGAGTCATGTTACAAGAAACTTTCCTAAAGATGAAACTATCAATACTTACAGAGCGTATAGAAAAGACAATTTTGAGAAAATTTTGTAAAAAGTATGACACAGTTTTACAAAGAAAGCATGCAATAAACCAGAATTTATTAACCAGAACACTAATTTAAACTAAACGTGGTCTTAAAAGGAGATTCTTACCTTTGAAGCCCTGATATCTTCAAGATGGCTTCCACCATTTTTAAAATGGTGCAGGGCATCTTGAGATGTAAATTTTGGAATGTAGTATGGAGTATGGGAGTAGGAACATCCCTTTAAAAGTGTTTCTTTCATTTAAAAAAAAACTAAACGGATAAACAAAATGCAAGTTAGTGAGAGTAACAGTATCCAAGACACATGGATGTTTTAATCTATTTCTCTGTCTCTATAAGTTGAAGGGTTATATCATGATGAGTCATAAAATATTTGCTTTCTCAACAATGTTTTAGTTATATGCTATGTTTACTGAAGTGATTATAATTTTCAACTTGCTGTGCTATTATCTGTTAATATTGCTCAATTTATCTTCCCTAGCAACTGTTGCTATGGTAACACCTGGGACAGATCACAACCATCACAACCTAATAACCTCCTGAAAACGTGTCATTTTCCCAAATTTCAATGTCAAGTTCAATTATTTGTGAATATTGTTCAATTATCTTCCCTAGCAACCATTGCCATGGTAATACCTGGGACAGATCACAACCATCGCAACCTAATAATCTCCCAAAAGCATGTCATTTTCCCAAATTTCAATGTCAAGTTCAATTATTTGTGAAAATTCTCAATTTTTAACCTCCTTAGCAACCGTTGCCATGGTAACGTATGACATGCATCACAACCATTGCAAACGGATTTCATAAAGTTTTGTTATCTCCGCAAATTTCAAAGTGATACCTTAATTGGTTCCAGAGATCTAGCTGTCTATAGTTCCGTGCAATGTAATACAGGGTTAGGATAGCCATTTAGGGCCCCTCCCACCCTCTCTAAAAACCATGACGTAGCAGATCACTGACCCCACAAATCATTAGTAAGACAAGCCTTAAGATGATCTTTGGATATCATTATCATTATCTGTAGTCAAACCTTTTGTGTGGTGGGGATGGTATGTGGACATTTTTTTCTATTTCTTCTCCTCGACTATGGACATTCCCTCTTAATAGCCACCTACTCAGTACAAATTGCAAAGCGCCCGTTGTGTGTACTCTTGCTGGGCAAGTTGCTTTTTGCTAACTCCATTGAAAAGGGAAACACCTTACGAAAATAGTTTCAATCTGTTCCACTATCGTCACTATCCACGATAGGGGTTTCACCGTGAACAACCTTGCATACTGGTATATTTTCATCTAATTGGGCGACTGGACAAACTATAATGTACATTACCACACCCTAAGACTGATGGGTCAACGTATACAAACTTGTCATGCTCTTTCTACATATCTATCAAGATTTTGCTCATTCCGCTTTCAATATATCTGTAGTAAAAGCTATTGTGGGAAGCCCTCCTTTGCAAGAAATGCACTTCAAAACGAATTTATTAGCCTGGAATAAAATCTTATTTAATGAGACAATCTTCTTGGAGAATGGATGGTCATGAGACATCTGTTGCTAAGAAGTTTTCCTGTGGCGTAGATATATGATGCCACATGCTAATTCGAGAGGGAGAAATGGCTGAATTGAACAACAAACTGGTCTGTAGGCAACTCCTGACATATGTGCATCCGGAGAGTTATTCTAGCTCGGAGGAGGAAGAGACCCCTCAATTTCATAAAGGGATTCTAAAGCGTATCGAAAAGATGGACGCAAGGTAAGTGTAAAACTTAGGCAAGGGCCCCTATGCACTCGTAATCATGGGTGCACTCGAAAACAGTAAAATATTTGTTGGCCACAAAGTGTCAATCACATGGCAAAATAAGAGGTCAAAGAGAGATCAAAGCGAGATAAATCATGGTACATTAATATGACAAATCTCTCAGTTTTCACACCTGACAAAAATTTGTCCTGCTCCGAAGCAGGACTTCAGCACCTTTTATGTTTGGTAAGTTGGTAGGAGAATCACTTTGTGCACTTGTTTCACAGAACTGAAAACAAAATGTTGCCTAATGCTTGTACAGACCCCAAGTTGTAATACAATGTATCAATTGTTGTGGGTTTGTGGAAGTCATGAAGGCTAAGATTCTCTCTTTTGACTGTTAGCTTCCTGATGCAGAGGACAGTGACCAGGAAAACTTGGACATGAAGCTGAGTGAATATGCCCTGAAAAATTTGAGGAAGTGCCCCTGGCTTGAGTTCCCAGATTGGTTAAATGAATGACTTTTGTTAATTAAAACTTTGTTTAAAATGTTTAAGCAAAGTAATTCAATTTCTCAATGATCCGTATTTTGTCATCATTTTACCAGTCCGGGATCATTATCAGATTTGATAACCATGTCACGTCACAACATGGCGGCCATTTCAAAAATCGGGAATTTTCGTATTCACTTTGTTTTGCTCGTTATTTGTTCGATTATACTCAGGTAATTTACCCATAATTCTATTCGATAAGAACCAGAAAGGAAGGAGCCTCAGTGTTTTGAAGATGGCGGCTGAAGACCAGCGTAAACGATGTAATGTGCTACTTGTAAAGTGAAACAGCACTTGCAATTTTGCATCCAAATCAGGTATGTTTTTCATTTTGTCATTAGAATTAAGTTACTTGCAGATTTTTGCGACAATCAAAACATGTCATTAATCTTCATGCCATATTCTTGGGATTTAATGTGTTTTTAGTGTTGTGCACAATCTGTGAAAAAAGTGCACGGGGGTATTTTGATTTGTGATGTTGTTCGTAACGGCAGCCATATTTACAGCTGTAATTGATGTGTTCCTAGTTATTGAGATGGCAGATGCTGGTACCCATAGAATCAAAATAGCATGTTTATGTCGATTTTGTGTGGCAAGACTGCGTCTTCAAGAAAGAAGTCTGCAACACCCACAGAAAAATTCAAGGTTAAATTCAAATGACACGGTGTTAATGTTGAAGACGACAATGATTTTATTCATCCCTAATGTTTGCCCAACGTGTGTGGGGTATTTTTATCGCCTGAGACGGTCACCTTCCAGTCATGCCCTCGGGAAAATCCCAATTACTTGGAAGCCCCACAAGGACAGTGAATGTACGTGTACAAAGGACAGCAGAGGAAGGCCAAGCAAGAGGAAGCGAGTAGATGTTGAAGATGGCAGTGACCCTGAAAGTGGAGAAGACGATGGAGATGAGGCAGAGAAAGATTCCTGCAACATGTTCCACAACATTTCAGAGAATCATCTAGACAAAGAATTGGCACTAGTCTTATGTAAGAACATTTGCTCTCAGTTTGGCCTACTTTTTATTGACCCTGAAAATATGTATTCATCAATGAGGGCAATTGACAGATAGTTAGTTCTGAAGTTGGTTGCAGTTATATTTCTCTTGAGAGGGAGCAATTGAAAGTTGACGGTGGTGATCTTAGTCACAGGAACATTTCTGACTTATTAAAAGCAAATCCAGAATCTTGGCTTATGTGAACAAATCCAGTCTTAAAAAGTGTGGTCGATGCCTTGAGTGACAGTAGAAGGAAGCCAATCAAAAAAGTGATGGCAGTTTATCACATCCACAATTTAGCAAAGCCAAATTTTGTAAGTCCCATTATGTTCGGAGCAAATCTGGTGATGTACTCGATTGCATGCAGCAAAATGGTGGTAGACATTTATGGAAAACTTCATCCAAGGCACCAGTACAAGCTAATGAAATCATGGCTAAATGGGCTAGCTATGGAAATCTCTGCTATGCCAGATAATGACATTCTGACTGTAATTGACAATGATCAGGTCCTTTTGAAAAAGTGGATTGTACACAGGGATAATCATGCTCAGATAAGCATTTTGACAAGTGTGGTTGGCATCAACAATGCAGTTTTACAAAGAGATGAAAAGCTTGCACCAAGGAAATGTAAGTAACATGCATCACTCCTCACCACCTCCAAGCATTGCTTTTTTCGAAACAGCTGGTCAAATATTTATTGTCCACTGTGGGCATAAAGAAAAAATGCCTCCCAAGTAGGGGCTGAAGAGTGGGTAGAATACCCCATACTCTGAAGAAAACGCCCTCCTCCAGTTGTAATAAGAGGAAACAAGTCTTAATTTATTACATTACTCAATATTTTTTTACATGTGCACTTGCAGACACCCATTTAAAAGAGCTCTAATTTTTTATTTACATCTGGGGGCTTGCATTGGATTATTAGCAATACATGTAGAAGTGGCTAGTCTGATGTGGCGTTTCGTCTCGGCCAAGAGACTCTTCAGAGACCTTTAGAATTCAAAGGCAAACTCGTTGAGCATCACGCCCAAAGTCCCATTCGCAAATTCTTGATTTTGACAGTCTGGCCCTCTATCGCAGAAGGATTCCCAACCGTACGTTCACGAGTTNAGAGACCTTTAGAATTCAAAGGCAAACTCGTTGAGCATCACGCCCAAAGTCCCATTCGCAAATTCTTGATTTTGACAGTCTGGCCCTCTATCGCAGAAGGATTCCCAACCGTACGTTCACGAGTTAAATTTATACAAAAGCATGCTTTTGTATAAATTTAACTCGTGAACGTACGGTTGGGAATCCTTCTGCGATAGAGGGCCAGACTGTCATCATCAAGAATTTGCGAACGGGACTTTGGGCATGATGCTCAACAAGTTTGCCTTTGAATTCTAAAGGTCTCTGAAGAGTCTCTTGGCCGAGACGAAACGCCGCGTCAGACTAGCCACGAACATTTCACAAGTATTTGACAATTGTTTGCTTTTGTATACATGTAGAAGTGCTACTTATTATTTGGT